AAGCTACATGGGTTCCAGACTACAAAGCAAAGAAAAGAGTAAATGTCGGGTATCTGAGTTTGTTTCAACTTCGGTAAGTTCCGAGACTACATTCCATATGTACCTCTTCAAGCCTTGTCAATGCTCCGAAGTATGAGTGTGCCTCTACCTCAAGCTCAAGATCAAGTCTGCTTCAAGCCAAAATGGCGATCAAAAGTGCTCTCCCTGAGTACCATTCCCTGCCAGAGGCATCTTGGCTGTGTTCGCAATGAATTCCTAGGAGACCAACTGCGACGATGGAAACTAGAGTTCGAATGGTTGATGCCTAGAACGCAAAGGTTCGGGATTTTCGAGACTAAAGTATGGTTTAAATACCCAGAGGCGTGTCCTTGGCTTGAAATCTGTATGGAAGCCCCATAGGTTGAGATAGCGTGTATGCACCTCAATTCTGGATACTGAACCAACCTAGTCTGTCACCCCATTACCCTTGAGAGGCTCTATCACACTTTGTGTTCACCTTTAGTGTATCTATCATTCTCTGTTCACATAGTGCATCTATCACACTTTGTGTTCACCTTTAGTGTATCTATCATTCTCTGTTCACATAGTGCATCTATCACACTTTGTGTTCACCTTTAGTGTATCTATCATTCTCTGTTCACATAGTGCATCTATCACACTTTGTGTTCACCTTTAGTGTATCTATCATTCTCTGTTCACATAGTGCATCTATCACACTTTGTGTTCACCTTTAGTGTATCTATCATTCTCTGTTCACATAGTGCATCTATCACACTTTGTGTTCACCTTTAGTGTATCTATCATTCTCTGTTCACATAGTGCATCTATCACACTTTGTGTTCACCTTTAGTGTATCTATCATTCTCTGTTCACATAGTGCATCTATCACACTTTGTGTTCACCTTTAGTGTATCTATCATTCTCTGTTCACATAGTGCATCTATCACACTTTGTGTTCACCTTTAGTGTATCTATCATTCTCTGTTCACATAGTGCATCTATCACACTTTGTGTTCACCTTTAGTGTATCTATCATTCTCTGTTCACATAGTGCATCTATCACACTTTGTGTTCACCTTTAGTGTATCTATCATTCTCTGTTCACATAGTGCATCTATCACACTTTGTGTTCACCTTTAGTGTATCTATCATTCTCTGTTCACTTAGTGCATCTATCACACTTTGTGTTCATTTTCAGTATATCTATCATACTCTGTTCACATAGTGCATCTATCACACTTTGTGTTCACCTTTAGCGTATCAATCACACTTCATTCATTTAGTATATCAATCATACTCTGTTCACATAATGCATCTATCACACTTTGTATTCATTTTCAGTATATCAATCATACTCTGTTCACATAGTGCATCTATCACACTTTGTGTTCATTTAGCGTACCCATCATACTCTGTTCACTAAGTGCCTCTATCACACGTGTTCACATTCAGTTTATCAATCATACTCTGTTCGCATAGTGCATCTATCACACTTTGTGTTCACATTTAGTATATCAATCATACTCTGTTCACATAGTGCATCTATCACACTTTGTGTTCATTTAGTGTATCCATCATACTCTGTTCACTAAGTGCATCTATCACACTTCGTGTTCACATTCAGTATATCAATCATACTCTGTTCGCATAGTGCATCTATCACACTTTGTGTTCACATTTAGTATATCAATCACACTCTGTTCACACAGTGCATCTATCACACTTTGTGTTCACTTTTAGTGTATCAATCACACTCTATTCACTTAGTGCATCTATCACACTTTGTGTTCGCTTTTAGTGTATCAATCACACTCTGTTCACTTAGTGCATCTATCACACTTTGTGTTCGCTTTTAGTGTATCCATCACACCTGTTCACATAGTGCATCTATCACACTTTGTGTTCGCTTTTAGTGTATCTATCATACTCTGTTCACATAGTGCATCTATCACACTTTGTGTTCACCTTCAGTGTATCAATCACACTCTGTTCACTTAGTGCATCTATCACACTTTGTGTTCACCTTCAGTGTATCAATCACACTATGTTCACTTAGTGCATCTATCACACTTTGTATTCACTTTTAGTGTCTATCACACTTTGTTTCATTTTGTGTATCTATCACGCGTTCACTTTGTGTATCCATCACACACGTTCGCTTAGCGTATCAATCACACTTTATTCATATAGTGTATCCATCACACTCTCTTCACTTTTGTGTATCTATCACACATGCTCGCTAAGATTGCATCATAACTGCATGAAATGTAGTTTGATTTGCCTTCCCGCTTAAAACTGTCGCATTTATTGTGAATATTTGCTTCGTTACAGCTTTATTTACATGATCCTTACTACATGAAATGTAGTTAGATTTGTATATGCTTGCTGCATTTGCATGATCATTGAGATACGTCCGGCTTTGTGCATATCATTTTGCATCTTGCCCCCTACCTGCGGGCACATCTTTGTTATCTTGCCTGTTTGTCTAAGTCTTCGGCCTTTTCAAAAATGGGTCGTCTCTGGGGTTTGACATTCACTCCCGTCACGCATGACTTTCGAGTTCTGTCAAAGAGGGGGCTCAAAATAATGCACTTTACAGTTTATGATCAAGTCCAAAACAGTGCACAAGTAAGCTTAAAACACTATGCAAAAATAGGCCTAAAAGAAGGTTTAAATACAAAGAGCAAAAAAAGAGTCTCAAATAGCAAAGGACCCTTGATCAAACATGAAGAGGGGGTCAAAATATGACCATTTACAGTTCGGGTCGGAGCCCAAAAATACAAGCACAAGGAGCTAAAAAAACATGCAAACAAAGGGGCCAAAAGAGGGATAAAGAGGCAAGTGATAGAGGGAAGTCCCAAACAGTGAAGAGGCCCATCAACAAAGTTGAAGAGGGGCTCAAAATAAGGCAACTCACAGTTTATAGCAAAGCTCGAAACAGTTTACAAATAGGCCTAAAATACTATGCAAAAAAAAGGCCTAAAAGAGGCTTTTAACACAAAGTGTAAAAAAGAAACCTCAAACAGGGAGAAGCCCTTAATCAAACATGAAATAGAGCTTAAAATAAGACTATTTTCAGTTAGGGTCGGAGCCCAAATATGCGAGCACAAAAGTCTAGAATATAGATCAAAATAAAGCAAGAAAAGAGGAAAAGAAGACTTACCCTTGAAGAACCAATCTTTGACAGCCTTTGGACCAAGTTTGGTGACTCTTAAGCTCTGGAAATGGCCTTCAAGCTGCTGGAATGGAGTGAGGAGGAGGGGTGCTATGGGTTGTAGAGTAAAGGGTGTAGGAATGGTCCAAGAACAAAAAGGTTTTGATGTTTGGAATAGAAGGGAAGAGGGATTAAATGCAAGAGGCTTAAAACCAATTTTTGTAACCCTGAAAACACAGCTGGGGGTGCTGGTTATATAGGCAAAGGAGTGGAGGAAAAAGGGAGGGAAATGAAATTCAAATTTCCCCCCAAAAATAGGCCTAAAAGAGAGATAAAGAGGCAAGTGATAGCTGCTGGCCTCAAACCGAAGAGAGCCCTTCAACAAAGTTGAAGAGGGGCTCAAAATAAGACATTTTACAGTTTACATCAAGCCACGAAACAGCTCACAAATAAGCCTAAAATACCATGCAAAAATAGGCCTAAAACAGAGTTAAAGAGGCAAGTGATAGTAGGAGACCTCAAGCAGCAAAAGGTCCTTAATCAAACATGAAAAGGACCTCAAAATATGACTATTTACAGTTTGGATCGGAGCCCAAAAATGCTTGCAAGCAAGGCTTAGATATAGAGCAAGATAGGAACAAAAAAGAGGGAAAAGAAGCTTACCCTTGAAGACCAATGGACCGGCAGCTCTTGGTCTAAGAAATGGTGCTCCTAAGCTCTGAAAAACAGCTCCAAGTTGTTGGAATGGATGGTTGTGGGGTGTATACCAAAAACCGGGACAAACAGAGGTAGTTAAGCGAGATCTCGAACTGAGGCACACGGCCGTCGGCTCCGAAAAACCGGAAACCGGGCTCTAAAAGAGAAAAATGGCCTACAACCACGAAACGTAGCCTATGGCCACTGAGAGATGATCTACGAGACCTCTCCCTCCCTTCGGGAAAAGAAACAGAGAAAACGGAGCCTGGTTCGCAAACCGAGGCAAGACACGAAAGAGCCCGAAAGTCCGGAGGCAAGGCTCGCAGCCGAGACTCAGAAACTTCTGAACAAGCACAATATGTACCATCACCGAGCGCTCAATCGGTGATGTCTGAATCTTAAGATCGGTCAAAAATGGAATGTCTACAGTTTCTTTTTTTACTTTTTATGACTTTTTATAAAATATGAGTTGGGTTTGGGTTGGGTTTAAAGTGATGGGGGTAGAGAGATGATGTGACTTAAATAAGATGATAGGACTTAAATAATGTAGTGACTTTTGACTTTTGACTTTTTGACTTTTCTTAAGTACATGACAAACAAGGCTTTAGTGCTGATTTTATGCTATAAGCTTAATTAATTAAAAGGGAAATTTCATTACAGGTGTGGTTTTAAAAACTGAACTTCATAAATATTAATAATTAAAAATATAAACTTTTATAAATCTGTAATAATTTACTGAAACTACCACTGATGCATAATTTCCCCTAATTAAAATGCTTAAAATGCAATAATTAGTGCCAAAATAAATTAAAGGAAATTGTTTGTTTGTACCTCTTGGACTGAATAGTCATGACGTGTTAATCCCATCCTTGCGTTTGCTTGCTTGATGAATACAAATAGTTGGCGTGTTGATGTCCCTATTTGTTCGAATCGATGTAAAATCATCCATTCGAGAGACGAATAAAGACACGATGGACAACGGATTGGATTGGAGAGAGAATTGGGGAGGACAAAATCAAGACAAAAAAAAAAAAAAAAAAGAGACGCAACACACAAGAAGGGGAGAGCCGGGCAAAACCTGTACCATCTCCCCCACAAACACAAAAAACAAACTTTTTATTAGGGTTTTTTGGACCTGCCAATTTTTTTGACCTGCCAAGCAAGCGCACCTGACATGGCAAAGGTCGATTGACAACCAGTAGAACATTACACATCTCACATTTTTTTTGTTACCCTAGGCTATACCTCTCTGGTATACACCGAAGACACACACACACAAACTATCTTCTTTGTTATACCAAGAAGATGACAAAAGAAAGCCCATCAAAAAAAGCATAAAGAAACACTTTAGCAATCCTTCACAGCGTCATATCAAAATCCGATCTGAATCCATAAAGAATCACGAGATCTGAATTGATTGCACCGATCTAACCAAGCGTTTTAGATCTGAAAATGAACACAAAAAGTTGAAAAATTAATAGATCCGAACCCAAGAATTACAATACATACGAAATTGTCAAAGGCTGTAAATACACACCTCAAGAATTTCAGAAAGACAGCAAGGTTTCGCATCGAACCAGACGTACAAAGCCCGAGCACCAATGGTTCAGAACAAACATCAAGAGTCTTCAAGAAATGGAGGAAAATACTTAATTACGTGCAAAAAGGGGATGAAGAACAAGATATTAATCTATTAACAACAAATCTACTACGTACCTCGATGGATCTTTCGATTTCCAGTCAATTCACCCATGACCGAAGAAAGGATGAGTCTTGAACCACATATCTCTGAATCGAAGATCGGAAGCGAATCGCTCAACGAAAACACTCGAATCCATAATCAAAACGCAGATCGTCGAACGAATTCAAAGCTGAGAAACCAAGGAGAAGAGATGTAACGAAAAGGCGGTAACGGAATTTCACAGTGAGAGAGAAGCTGTACAAGAAAATGAAAATGTGTACAGAGAGGGGGGGTTGATTTATTAATTGTCCAGAACGATCCAACGGCTGCCAATAGTCCTGTTTGATAAAGTCGTGAAAAATTACTTATAATTTATATTTTAACCGTTTATAATTTATAATTATAAATATAATTTGATTTTTGATTTATAAATTAAGTTTTTTCTACTTTATTAAAAAAATTAATTAATTTTTAACTTATAAAAGTTATAAATTGTATTATTAAACTAAATCAAACACATTAAAATAATTTAAATTAAATTAAAAATTAAAATAAACTAAAATTATACTGTACCAAACAGGACCAATGAATGAGTTGCGAAAAAATCAACAGTCAAACGTGCCTGGCCGTAGATGAGACGTTGACCTCTATTAATAGGGGTTGGCAAAGATCGACGGCTCTCATAATTTTTTTGTGAGAAGATTCTCGATTTCCTTCGACTTGGACGAGATAAGCTTGCCACGTGTTTCATCGTGGCTTACATAGCTACTCGTTTAAAATGTGAAATGAGAAATTAATACTCGTTTAAAATGTGAAATGAGGTATTAAGGTAGTATTTAATAGAGTTTTCTAAATATAATTTAAGAATAAAGATTTTATTTTAGTTTTTTGAATTATGGAATTATGATTTGAATGTAAAAAATTTATTTGGTTATGATTTTTAAATAAAGTGTTGAATTGAGTTTTGAAAGTTTAATGTAACATATAAAGTAAAAAAATTTATTTGGTTATGAGTTTTCAAAACTTAATTCAAAAAATTATAAATCATAACCAAATACACAATTCAAAACTCAATTGAAAATTTTTATCAACATTTATAACCAAACTCTTTTTAAAATTCAATTCAGAAAATAAATTAATATATATTTTTTTTTGAAATAATTTTTTTCAAATAATTTGTTTTTAAATTAATTTTTTTCAATTACTTTTTTTCGATTAATTTTTATTTCAACTATTTTTTTCAATTAATTTTTTTTTTCAATTACTTTTTTTTCCAAATAATTTTTGTTGCAATTATTTTTTTCATTTAATTTATTTTTTCAATTAATGTTTTTAGTTTATTTTTTTCAATTATTTTTTTAAAATTAATTTTTTCCCCAATATATTTTTTTTATTTATTAAATTTTATTACTTTACTAAGACATCTGTGAACCTGTATCACTCACCTTTATTATTGTGCTCATCCGTGACCTTCTCTTCCATCTATATTTATTAATTGAAGTTGATTGATGGATGTGTTTGCCAATCAAATGTCTAAGGTGCCTCAATTAATTTCACCAATTCATACTCGTGTCAAATAAGAGAGGAACAGCTTTGAGCTGAGGTTCACTACACCAGCTTCATAATTTCAGGTTGTAAAGAGGAAGAAAAATAACAGAGGTTCACAACACCAGCTTCATAATTTTAGGTTTCAAAGCAATCAAAAAGTGTGCCGATCCGGTCGACCGGGAGGTCAACCGATGGGTCATCTGGCTGGTCACCCAGCTGCGCCTATTCCCAACTTCCAACAAGATTGAAATCTAGGCTGAGCTTTGGCTATCTGTTGCTTACCTTATGCACACCATTTGGAAGCTTGCTTACCTTATATACACCATTTAGAAGCTTTTCACAGAAGACAAAGATGATTGTACGTTTGGAAGCTTTTCATAGTGGAGAAATGAACGGAGAAATTTGCCAAACGGGATGCGGAAATGCATTTTGAACTGTATGGTAGAATTATATTTAAAAAACTGTATCTAAACGTCAAGCGCAAATGAGAGAATGAAAATATATTTTGAGAACACAACCAAAAACAGCCAAAATCAGGCGACGCTTCTCTTCCGTTCGAAATTTATGGGTGATTTGAGAGGTCTTAAATAAGTGTATTTTTTGATTTTTTTAATAAAAAAATATGTAGAAAAGTAAAGGAAGTTGATAGAAAAATGGAGAGGGAATATTAATAGATGTTGATTGATGTGACCAAAATAAATATATGTATGTAAAAAAGTACAATTTTTTAATGCATGCCAAACACGACTTAATTGAAGTTTGTTGTTGGATTTGTGAGAATTCATAATGAATCTTATTTTGATAATTTAAATTTTTTTATGTATAAAATTTGTTAAGTATTTTATTATTATAAAAAATTATATAAATTGAATATCTATAGTCATATGATTAGATTATATTTCTATCAATGATAGATATGATTTTTAAAATAATTTTTTGATAAAAATCTGATTCGATTAAGTAGTTATCGATATCCAATTAATGTGATTTTTTACAAGAATAAAATACTTAACAAATTTTACATATTGAACTATTCAAATTATTAAAATAAGACTCATGATAAACCTTATAGATCTAAGCAATACGGTCCAGTCCACATAAAATCTAAGTCCATGAAATAAATAATAAGTGTATTGTATTGTAATAATTTAATTTTATTATGTTGGTAAAAAATCAAAGAGTATATATGTTATTTATATATAAATATACTAGTTGGACAGTGGTTGCGTTATCATTACCCGAAAATCAAAATACAAACGTAATGTTAACTTGAAACTAAAATACAAGTGTTAATGCTCCCAACATAAAGAAGGAGAAAAATGAAAAATATATATGTATGCGTATCATGAATTAATTTAACATGTCTGTTACGGTCGTTATTTGAATCAAGTATCTTTGTTTCAGAATTGTACATGAGATTTTCATCTCATATGACTCCTTCTACGATACCAAACGTAATATAAATACTTTCTAAAAAAATAAAATATAAATATTCCTCATAAGAAAAAATTTGAGAGAGAGAGAGAGTGAACCAAACAACTTCAGTAGACAAGGGAGAAATCTAAGACCCAAAACTTTCAAAAACTCAAGACAACATCCCCCAACCTGTGTTTCCAAACAAAGATGTCATCTGTAATCTAATACCTACTATTGTTGCTCGCATTCTGGTGGACGCTCACTTTGCTGACCTTTCTTAGGTAGTGCTCGCATAGTCTTCTGTAATTCACAACAAACTGGATGTTATCCAAAGCACACACCATTGAAAATCTTTACATTTTGTACAGAGTAAAAAATAAATTACATAGTTGTATCATCTCTCACCTTTGGTCTAGATGACTGCTAGAAAATCCCAATCAAATGAATAACAGAAAAACAGGGAAATAAAGTATTAGTATGTTCAGAAATTGAAAATTAATAGTGGTAAGGAGGAGACTTTGGCTTTTGCTTAGAATTTTGTAAGAGTTACCTTCTTTGTGCTGGTTTTGTCCTTATTCTTATCTTCGTTTGTGTCTTCATCACTGTCATCGTCTTTATTTTCATTTTCTTCTTTATCATTATCATCTTCATTGTCGTCGTCCTTGTTATCCACGTCTTCAAATGAATGGCCTCTCTCATAAACCACGAGACAACATGGGAGATAATTTTGTCCCGAATAGTTGAACTGCATATATCAATATACATCAAATTACCTTTTTTGACATAAGATATAAAAAAAAGTACTTGTCACGACCCCATTCCGCCCCTAATAGAATGATGTAATGATGGCCGGTAATCTTGATTACCGAAGGACAACTTACAAAGATTCACACATACAGAGTATACATATGGGGCATGTATATACGGACATAATAAATTTAAATCTAATTAGTCTATAAGGGTTGTGCATAGGTTAAAGGAAATGACATATATTGAGATACGTAAAATATTAACATAGCTTTACAACTTGGATACAAACAAGGTAATAAGCTTGTACACAAACATCCACATGTTACATCTTGATCAAAAGGCTTCTTGAGCCAAAACATACAAAAGAAAAAATCTACAAAACTAAAAAGCATAATCTTCAAGATGAATACAAAACATGAAACAAAACACATATTCCACCAAACTTAGGTAACGTCGCCTTCTTGTTCATCATCTACATATATATAAGAGAGAGAGGTGAGCTAAAAACTCAATGAATAATATAAGTAATAAAGGTTTGAATGAATGATATCCGCGATTTTTATCAAAACAATACACATTATAGCTTGTAACAAAATCAAATGATGATCCAAGTTCATCTATAAAGGCTTTCAAAGCTTCAAATGATGTTTATAACATCTACATAATACAAATAATGAACATTCATAAACAAAACAAAGGAATAACCGACATAGAATCAATTAGACAAGCCCACCCGTCTGTGGCAAAGGAAGTATCTCAAATAAAGATACTAGTTGTATTAAAGTCCCCTAGCACACAAGGACCTTTCAAGAATATCATCAAAACAAACATAATACTTGATTAAAAAAAAAAAAAAACTAAGGGATAATCATTCATGCTTGATCAAATACTTTTCCAAAACAAAGCAAAGCTTTTATCCAAAACAATATAACATAACTTTATTAAAAATATCACTCACAATAGCTTTTTGGTCGAGGAGAAATAAGGCAAAGATCCAAGACCTACAAATACATGGTAAATCCCATCAAATGCACTTCAAAAAGACAAGAAGAGATGCTCAAAAATGGTTATGTAATGCAATTTCAAAACAAGCTTCAACTGAGTAGAATAAATCTCGATATTCTTTCCAAAACCAAGTCAAAACAAAGCAAAATATGTTCTAGAAGTTAAATCAATGTTTTTCTTCTGGGAAAAGCATGTTGGGTACAAACTAGGTCTGGGAATAGATGCACAGAGAGGAGCTGGGCCGAAATGACCTAGTTAAGTGAACCAAGGAGGTCATGGCTGAGGTGTGGTCTCCTTGGCCGAGATGTGGGCTGCCCGCCCAGAATGTTACAAGGTGGTTGGCAAAGTTGTGCTATGGTCGGCCTAGGTGTAGACCAAGGTACAAGTGATCATGCAAGGTAGGCTAAGGTGAGATGCAATACTTGGCCTAGGTATGGAAGCTAGACAAGAGTGGGTCTCGGTGACCACACTTAGGGAATAATGAAATATGAAAATCTGGGTTTCCTCTTGAAGATCATGAAGAACATAAACATAAAGAACATTGTAATGACCCTGCCATGCATGATACTTAT